AAAGTGCTGGCTGGGCCTAATGAGACCGGTGTGACTGGGTGTGTCACAGGAAGCGCCTTCCTTGAAGCACCTGAAAATTTAAGGATCTCTTGTTTGCAGACCAGCCTCATTCCATGAGGTTCATGACTTTGCATGTGGCTGTTAGCGACCCAGTGTGGCTATGCCGGTAGTGTAGGGACCATTCTCCTGCACAGCTGTATGTTGCTTGTGCAGATCCCTGAGCCATTTGTGAGGATGTTGTGTCTGCAGTCTGTCTGCTTGTTGTAATTAAGGTCATGATACATAGGGTTGGAGTTTAGAAACATGCTGCTTTTGATTTAAACTGGCAGATAGGAGTATTTCCATGCACAGTTTTTGACCAGTTTGTGAAACATGACAGCCTATTACTGGTATTCTCTTAGAAGCAAAATAAAGAACACTTATACAAGTTTATTAAAGCAGTTAGCTAAATGAGTGATCACAAAAACAACCACCTGAATTGTGATCTATAGTTGGTAGGATATGTTATAGTTGAATCATTCCATAACATTCTCCTGCAAGGTTACTTATGTTTTCTCATTTAATGCATGCCTTAACAGCTACAGTATTGTTAGGGCACTAGCTGTGATTCAGAATGACATTGAATTATATTGCTCTAAACACAGTGAAAATAGTGGACTGTCAGCGTTCAAAAACTGGCAAAGTTAATGTTAGTAATACAGAAGTGTTCCTAGGTAGGACTAGGCAAGCAAGCAGATGCAGCTGACTAGAATAGGGATCTTGTCTTCTGCAATTAGGGAGAAAATACATCTAAGTGATAGCGGGTTATGGTTGTGTGTGCAGGCATTTGTTAAGTCACAACCATGGGGCAACTTCATATTTATGAGCAACTAGGCAGGGTTTTTATGTGATATCTTCCTATCCAAACCTAAATTCCTTTCATGAGACTCATAGTGCACTGTGTGTAACACTTCCTTTTGCATCTGTTAAGAGTCTGTATGGTCAAGTGTTGCTTCTGACTGAAAACATTAAACTTGAAGATGTTTTGGTTGCAAAATGCTGAAGTTGTTGATGTTGACTTACAAAACTCAGACAGAGAGGTGGTTTCTTGTGATGTATTTTTGCAGAAATACTGAGCTTGTGCTTCACTGAGATACCAGATTGAGGGTTAAAGCCAAAGGATGTGAGATTTCTTTCATTTCAGAAATTATGGGAGCCTGGTCATATCCTTCAGAGTGTTCTGCACTCTGTTCTCTGATGAGATTACAAGTATGGCAGGTTCTGTAGTTTACTCACTTCTGTTGTACTTAAGCGTTGAGTGATGGATCTTCCTTTGTAACTGATAATACACCATGCATGATCTTAACATTTTTCACTGGCACTTGGTACATTAGTCAGTATTCACAGAAAAGTGATATATGGAGATATTTCAAAGCAAAAAACCCACAACAGTTTAACAGAAGTATTAAAAAAATTATAATGCCACTTCTTAATTGAGCACTCTGTATTCTTAAATCAGATCAAGTACTGCAATTTGTACAACAGTCTTTGCTGTTTGCTATCAAAGTACTTGAAGCTAATTATGCAAAGTTGCAGAGTGCATCTTTCTGTCATATAACAGGTGATAGCTAGATTAATTAGAAGATGTACACTTCTGACAATGAAATCTTTCAACACTGATTGTATATTGCTTGAATAGACTGTTTTTTTCTAGTGACAAAACTCTGCTCTTTGGAAAAACGTCGTTATTTCTTGACAAACATTTTGCATACTCTAATGATGTCATATAAGATTGCACTTAAGTGTGTATCCTGCTTTTTGAAGATATATGCTATCTAGGGAGGCTTCCTGAGGATGTCACTTGAGCTGTTTTCTGTTACCATTGCTCACTATTGGCTGCTTTACTGCGGTTTCTATTAAATTTAGTGTTAATATTTATTTCTGTGGCGAGTGGTATACAGTAATTTGTGCATTACATTAATACATAAAGAGCTGTAGAATGCAGTGTTTTTTCTATCAGAAGTTGGTATTTCAAATATAGTCTCAGTGACACTGAATTAGTTGCACTCAGAAGTTACCTCAGTATTTTAATTTCAGAAAACAAACCTTTTCTTAAATAAGGAAGCAAATTTTTAACCCTGACTTACCAGGTAATAAATATGGTAGGCTTGATAAAATACTGTTGAACGGGAGACAGTGTATATGTAGCCTGTTCAGTGCTAGAGAAAGACATCTCCAATATGTGGGATATACCAATATATATATATTGCTGTCACCGGCAAGGAGGGTGTCCTTTTTGTTCACAGCTTCTGGACTGAAAACTGGAGCACCCAAGTTTGCGTTATCATTGTTAGAAATCCTAATCCGTTACAGAAAAGTTGAATGCTTTGTTTGCATATGATCCTGCCTTTCTGTTTTCTCAGGTTTTTTTACTGGTCATTTGTGGTAAGACTCCCACCTTCCCCATTTCAAAATTGTGCCTTTCTTTAAGTTTGTTGTAATGCAGTATGTTTCTCAATAGAATTAGGACTGTTTTCTCAAGTGGGTGATAAATGCGAAGAAATAAAAGCTCGGTAAGCCTGCTGTTAGTTTAAAATAGGCTTTTGTGCTGGTTTGGGCTGAAGTAGAGACCTTGGCTCCCTGCTCAGCAATACCAAAACATCCCTGCGTTATCAACCCTGTGTTCAGCACAAAACCTGAACATAGCCCCATACTAGCCACTGTGAAGAAAGTTAACTCTACTTCAGCCCAAACCAGCACAGCCTCATGGAATGCAAGCTTTCTTGACCAGGAAAGTTTCTTGGATTGTCTGGGGCATTTCACACTTTACCGAAGTTGGTCTGTTCAGAATAGCAAAACCCAGGTGTGACATGTGCTGGGAACAAACTCAAGTTTGAGCCACACTGTGCACATTGACAAGCAAAATGTTTCATTCTAGGTACTTCGAAAGTGACAATCTTGATTTTTCTTTCGTTTGCAAAAGGACCCTCCTGGTAGGGGAAGTGTGGTCCACGTTTTTGTGCACTTTATCTGGTCAACTGATTTCTGTTCAGGAGGCTGCTTTGCTCTGGAATGGGATCACACAGGATCTTGCTAAAGTAACTCAGCCTGCAACAGACACAGCAGTGCTTTTTCTGGTTGAACTTGTTTTGATCAGAATGAGGAAGAGAAGCAAAGGAGGGCTATGCTAGCAAGCAAACAGCTTTGCTAGGGGGAGCAATATCTATGTTGGTGCTGCTTCTGCTGGGATAAATGGTATTTATTGGTTTAGTCTATCTGATTTTTATTTGTTTTCGGATAAAAGTTCTCAAAGCTTTTGCTTCTGTTTTGTAGGAAAAATAATGTTTCTGGTCAGACTTTATCAACATCCCAGATATTTTTTATTTTTTGTTTTGGCACTAGAATCTGTGAAGTGTTTGGTATTCTTGCATATATTAGTTCAAAAGGTCTTTTACATATCTCTTTGACATTGCGTTTTGTGACCCTTGAAAGACACATGTGAACTATTAGAACTAAAAAGTGAATGGTCTGAAATGGTGAAGGATTTAGATTGTCTAAACCAGTGACTTTTTGGAAGCTGATGTTTTCTTGAGTGTAGAAATTGAAGTTTGAATTAAGCATAGTTAGTTGGCAGGGCTAATGAATTATTGCAGTATATAGCTCTGGAACTTGCTGCAGCTTGGTGGGTGGATGAGAATAATGGTTGGCTTTGTTTGGAAAGTGCTTTCCACTGTTTCCTTTTCTTTTTTTTTTTTTTTTTTTTTAAAAAACTAATACTTGATCATTTAGAGTAGAATGAGTGTTCTGACAAAGGCTGTGTAAATAAACTAGGGTGAGGTGAGGGAGTGCTTGAATAGTAACAGCAGATTGAAGTGTTCCTATTTCATATTTTAAAGTCTGTGGTTTGCCATGTGTCGGCACTCACTAACACTATAGGTTGCACACTGAGATTAGGAAAGACTGCTTTGGGGCTGGATGGTTGTCTGGTGACTGCTGTCCATCTTACTGCAGGGTTTGCTGCAGCAGTATCTGTGTCAGCTGAGAAACAGGCTGATAAAAGTCATGTTTGTGCTTTTTAAAAAAATCCAGACTAACCTGAAGCCTGTGTAGGCTTAAAATATGACAGTCTTCCAAGTCAGATAATTCACCTCTGTTTCTGGTTATTTAAAATAAGCAAATTAGGGAAGGGAGAAAAACTGTTGGTATGTATAGAACTACCTCATGGGGTAGTTCCTAGGGACAAGCTTATCTGAAAATCTGTGCTGTCTTAAAAGTATTTTTTATTTGAAATAAATAACCTGGGAGGTTGAACATGTAAAGATTTAATAACTTTGAAACAAAGCTTTGGAGTTACATCAGTTTTGACTGAAAGCTTTTGTTAGTTTCATAGGTCTATTCTGTGAGAATTAAAAATCCCCTTAAGTCTGAAGGACATCCATTGTTGCTCTTTTTTTTCAGGTGGTATCATGGAAAACTTGACAGAACAATTGCAGAAGAACGTCTTCGACAAGCGGGAAAACCTGGAAGTTACCTTATTCGAGAGAGTGATCGAAGACCAGGTTCATTTGTGCTTTCATTCCTTAGTAAAACAAATGTCAATCATTTTAGGTGAGAATTAAATGTTTCATTTTTAATACTGTAATTTTGTTTCAGAACACAATAGAGTAAAACCAGAAAACAATAATTGTATTATGTTTTAGTGTTTTTAACTCCTTATGCTTGCATGGTACAGCTTTTTACTTGTGTTTAATTGTTTTAAAATATGCTCTTAAAAATTACTTTATAGCATAAAGGACGAAAGTGTGAGGAAACCCAACAATATCTGTATAGAGAAGCGCATCTAAAGTGGTTTTGAATAGACTTAAAGCAACATGCAGGTTTCATTAGTCTGTCAAGGAAATTGTTTTGAGTCTGTTCCATAGTAGCCACTGTAGCTCACAGGGCGTATTTAAAGTGCTAGCACATCTGGTTGCTTCCTTAATTTTGAGGGGAAGAAACCCAAACCAACTGAACCAACCAACCAACCAAAAAAACAACATCAAAAAAAATAAGAGAAGAAACAAAGAATTTGTGTTTAATAGTCTAAATGTTTGCTGGAAACAGCATTCAGCAGGTACTAGAATCACTTGGTCTAAATACAAGATTATTGTTGTCAAACAGTGTGCATTAGTAAGTTCAGTTATTCTTTGGTGTAAATGAGATGTGTTCTGAGAACAGCTTGAATGTTAATCAGCGAGTGGAGTGCTGCAGCATAATGTTCGTCTTTACAAAATAGAAAAGCAAATGTTTTGTGAGCAGTAAAAAAATCTTTGTCAGTTGTCTTGTTGGCAACTAACAAATCCAAAGCAAATTCTTCCAACTCCTGAAAGTGGGAATTATCTGGAGTGCCAGCGTATAAGCCACTATGTGCATGGTTTGCAAATGTAGGAACCTTTTTGTTGCATCTGCTGTGTGATGAAGTGTGATTCAGAGGTCCTGATGTACCATTGACATAAACATATAATTCTCTGAAGTGCAGACATGATGCACAAATATGATCATGTTTAGGTCTTGCCATCTGAGCTATCAGTTTCAGCTTCTCAGCTCGACTAATACTGGGAACCGCTTCCTGTGAAGCAGTAGCAGAAAAGTGTATTGTGTCAATACTTTCTGGTCCAGTTTTAGAGTTTGGATTATTTTTAATGACTTCTCCTTTTGAAGTCAGTATCAATCAGGCAATTGTTGCTTCATGAACACCATGAAAGTGTTGCTGCCATCTCAGGCAGCAAATAAACTAAGGATTTCTGATTCCCTAAGAAAAGGGTTGTTAGAATATTTTCAATCCTTAAAGAATCTTTCTTTCAATTCTTTTGGTACCTCTTGAAAGTTGTATACAGTCATATATGTGCATGCAGCATATGATTCTGTCAAAACAAAATATTTTTTTACTGAAGTGTTACCTATTTTGGTGAGTCAGAGTGATCCAAACTATTTTGTAGGATTTTATTATTTTTATTATTTTTGTGGGATCGAGTGCACTCTCGGCAAGTTTGCTGATGACACCAAACTATGTGGTGCAGTCGACATGCTGGAGGGAAAGGATGCCATCCAGAGGGACTTTGACAGGCTTGAGAGGTGGGCCAATGCAGATCTCATGAAGTTTAACAAAATGAAGTGCAAGGTCCTACATCTGGGCCATGGCAATCCCAGGCACATCTACAGGTTGGGTGGGGAAGTAATTGAAACCAGCAGGGAGGAGAAAGACTTGGGAGTGACAGTGGATGAGAAGCTTACCATGAGGCAGCAGTGTGCACTAGCAGCCCGGCAAGCCAATCG